TATCTATAAACAAATCCTTAAAGCCTTGTTGTTCAGTCCTGATCAGCAAAAGTCCATTAAGATGCTACCAGATACCAACATGTCTATTCTAACCTTGATCAAATAAACCAAATTTATATTCCTTCATTTTACTTTTAACAATCTTTAGTCCCTTCAAATAATGTCCTAGAACTTGATTTCTTTTCATTTTTTCTTTGTCCTTTCTCACAAAATTCTTCAAAGCTTTAACAATTCTCTTTTGTAAATCCAATATAGGAAAGTTATCCAGGTCATTCTTTTGGTTTGTTATTTGTATGTCTCTTTTAATTATTAAGATATCAGCTGGTTTCATTTGTATGTCCAATGTAGCATCTTTTTCCATACCATTCTTGTAGCCTGTCATTTTCAAATCCACTTTCAGATCAGTCACAGAATTATCCAGTAAAACTTGTTCCTCTTCCATAACATCTTTTAAACATAGTCTGTCTATAAAGGCAGACACTCTTAAAATTAACTTCTGGGTCCATTGTTCAAAAATATCCTTCAATATGTCCATCGTTAAAATATTTTGCTCCATTCTGTAGTAGTAAGTCAAATTTAAATGTTCTTTTTTAATTGTAATCTTTAGTTCCTTCTGGTTCCCTCTAGTGTCCAATCTTCAAAGTCTCAGCCTCTCTTTTTTTTTAAGAGAATTCAAAACAAAAGCATTTTCCCATGGGGAGGATTCTTATGATTAATTCCAAAACCTTATTTCAAATCCATCTGGACCCTTAATCCACTTGTAACTTTCCAAAATCAAAGTTCTAATCACCCTTTTGCTGTTTATTGCAAAAAGACTTTTTTTAAAGTCCCTGAATTTGCATTTAAAACTTCTTTTGCTAAGGACTGAAGGAAACTCACCCAATGCTGTAAAAACTTGTCGATCCAAAGGTTCCTAATAGCTGAAAAGCAGTCAACAAGCAATTTCCTAAAGTGATTAGAAAAGGAAGCATACGAACCCAGTGCCCTTTTGAAGGCGCAGACTGCGGTTTCTTTCCCTCCTGGACAGATACGTGAGGCTGCGGTGGGAAGAGAGGCTCGGAGGGAAATCCAGCAGCTTTGAGGAAAGGGCCAG